GGTAGTTTCAGGCGACAAAGTAAACTTTATGTGTTGATAAAGTTCACGTTTTAGAAAATCAAAATTTCTAATTTAGATCGCTGAGTACTATCTTGTGAGGCGAAATCGACCCACCTAGATTTTAAAGTATGGGTCAATTTATTTATTATTGCGTAATATAATTCGGGCGAGTGCAAATATTCAAAATGATTGAGCAATCGTATAGTAACGACGCTGTTTCGAACTCGATTGGCTATAGTATTTAATTCTTTTAAGTCGTTACCTAACCGAGGAAAGTTTTTTAACGAGACTACTTCTCTGTACACAATCAGTTACGGTCGAGCGAAATTATCTTCTAAGGCGCGTATGATCTCGTCGAGGCCCTCGCTGCACAATAACACGGACTAATACGTACTATATTTTCTAAAGGAGTAAATGAAAAATTAGAAGAATAATATATACGTTTACATTGGAGCCACTGTAACGGGTCTCCTCCTTAACGCATAGTCATCTTTTAAATACTTCGGGCATGTGTCAAGGTGGCTTTTAGAACGCCTTGTAATTTTGCTTCGTTGTAGCATTCATAAAATACTTTTAAAAATACTATATTATGTATGGTACAGCTACTTTGTTATGAATCTGAATAAAAACTGCAACAAAATATAGTGAATAAAATCTTTAAGAACCCTTATTTTAAGATTTTTATTGGTAGTTCTTCAATTATCTTACCTCAATTGTATTTATTTTAAAATACGTATTGGTTTTATTTTGAAACTTGGAACGTATACCTTATAATTCTATACTATATGCCATCCCCTATTCGCGTTTTTTATATTCACGGTATATTTAAGGCACGTTTCCTCCGCGAATAAAGAGCTTCTACTGTACTTAAAAAATATTTTTTTATGAAAGTGGAGCTGCCCTGCGATTTTGTAAAAATCCAAACCCGAATTCGAATTCACTCAGGTCTCCGTATACACCTCAAAAACGGCATCCACTCAACATTTAATTGGTATTTGGTAATAACGTGACATAAGTAAAGTGAGTTACGAAATAGGAAATATACATAGGAATAGAATACTCGTATCTAAGACAGGTATATTCAATCAATTTTGTTTTGTACTTTTATACAAAAAAAATCTTCACTCGATGACGTGAACTCGGACACATGAGTGAATTCGATGTCAGGTCTGGGTTATTACAGAATCGCATGGCTGATGTCATTATCGAAGGCGATATAGTACCTACATTGAAAAGTATAATTCAGTAGCACCGGTCTTGGTAATTGATTAAAATTATCGACTGCAATAAAGATAAAAAATAATATAAACCTTACGTGAAAAAAATATCAAAACTCGTATACTTTTATGATGTTCCGTATAAATTATTTCATCTTCTAGATACTTTTTTATTCAAACTCAAAATGTTAAAAAATTTGTACAATAAGGAGCTCAATGGCGCGTTCGGTCTGCCATGAAGAGCTTAAGCAACTCTCGCAATGGCTGATCACGAGATGGGTGACCAAAAATGGAAAAAATGTAGTCAGTGCACAACATTTTATATTTTATTGGTTACGGTGCACTGCTACTTATGATAACTATACACGGAGGTTGATGACTATTTTACTCGACTATGGCAAAGCGAAAAGGAGGGTTATGATTTTGGCTAGTATGTATGTATATAAGAATATTCATCTGTGCCCTTACAACTTCGAAACTTCTCATTGTAACTAGACAAATGAGATATCATTAGAAGTCTTAGTTGTCCGCGTGTTAAAGGCAATGTTACGTTACATTAAATTAGCAACAGAGCCCTCTAAAGAGTATAAAGAAAGAAACTAAAAAAAATATAATTCATATTCATTCAATAATTATGTGTAGGGTATCAAATGATATATATCCGAAAATTAATTAAATAATAAAAAAATAAGTTAAGAAACTAAAACTCAATTACAGCTAAAATATGCTCTGAAAAGTTTGAAAGTAGAAATTTATTTTATAGCTATAGCTATATTATTTATAAAAGAGACCAAAGGGCAGCTTATTCGTATGCCACTGATCTAAGCAAAACAAATTGTTCTATTTCGGGTCGTGTCAATGTAGAAAATTAACTATTCAATATTACCTCGGTTCTAGGTGTTGTGGAGCCTTCATTGTCTTAGATATACCATTTTACAAGGGCTACATAGGCTGATGATTAAGGAATGTGTCCTTTTCTACACATCTGAAGATCTCTAAAATACATAGATAGGAAATGTAGCCATCCTCCACAATGGGAAACTACAGTAATAAAATATAAATGATAAGAATCAATATAAAAGTCGTATATACAATATTATATTCACTTACGACTGTGTTACCAGCTGTGGAAAATATGGTTGCCCTTGTCCTTTTGATCTTAGGCCTTATATCAGGTAAGCGAATACTGATATTTTCTCATAAATAAATCCTAAATTAATAACCCACACCATATAAACCAAATCATGTAACCTGTGGTACATTTACTTGAGTGTTGTAAACTACGTATCAAGTGAATTTTGTCACTAAACGTTAAATCTGGTCCAGAATTTCAATCCTATAAGATTTTTAGGTATACTTCTGTAAAATGATTCCCAGAAAAAATTGTAGATATCTATTAATTTGTTTGAATAATTTACATAAGTGCAAAACTGTGATATTCAGTAAAATCCACATAAATTTAGTTCCTGTGATAGATATGTAGATACTTGTGCACTATCCACAAATAAATACACGTGCACAAACGATAACAAGTCTCGCAAACACCGCCAACTATTGGTCTACATCTTACAGAATAACATATAATAATTTTATTTATTTGAAAACTCGGCATGTGTATAAGATCTACCGACCTCCATAGCAGAGTGGTTCGCGTGTCACCATTTCCGAGGTCCCGGGTTCGATTCCCGGTCCAAAGTAGAAAACTGACTTTTCTATATTATCTCGGATCTGGGTGTTGATAACCTTAATTGTCTCAGATACTCCATAATACGAGAGCTTTAGCTACTTATCTTGGAATCTGAACAATATATGTGATGTTAATATTTTTAAACTCACACGATTTGTATACATTATAATTATAATACCCGATTGCATATAATTATAATATGTGATGTTGTCTAATATTTACCATCATGAAATTCAGCATGTTTTGCTAACAGCATGCAATGTATTCATTTTTTTATTAAAAAATAAATAACATTTATATTAACAATAGTCTGGGAGTACAATTTGATTGAAATTACCTGAATATATGTGTGATAGAATTTGATTTTTTTATTAAGTTCAGATGCTTCTTTTCCAAATAGTTTAAGAATTGTAACTACGCCCTAAATGATCTGATTGATGCAAACATTGTTTTTTACCCGACTGCGCGACGCAAAGGGGGGTAATGTGTTTATCAGTCTATGTATGTTTGTTTCTATGTGGCGTTCTAGAGACCAAATGCATAGGCCGATTTTGATGATTCTTACGTCAATCGATTCGTTTGAACCTTGCGAGTGTCACTTAAGACATGTCAGTAATCAAAATTCACCACAGCGTTAACCAGACGCCATATTGTCTAAATGAATTAAAATCATTTTTAGGTTCCTTTCATCATTTTTAATTTTAAATAATAGTTTAGGATATATAACGATTTAAAGTTGTTTAACAAAACATTCTCGCTAATTTTCTTACTTATTGATTAAAGTTTTTATTTAAACAAAAACAAAAAAATAGTGACAAAGCATGAAGAACAAATATTTTTGGTAAAAAAATAAAGCATATGTAGCTTTGAGCCGAGTTAGGTCTCTAGAGGGACTAATCATCAGTAGTTTAGATCACCGCACGTTACTTAATAATCCCCACGAAATTAACTCCCTCGATGAAATAACTTGATTGAGAAATTTACCATCTTATAACGAAGTCAATGAATCATAACTAAAAAGTATAAAATAAAAATAAATAATTTAAAGAGAAACAAAAGTCCCGACTGCGTAAATACGAACAGAACGACTCATAGTCGGGGCCCCTTGGGGAGATTTGATTGGTAAATTTTGAATGGGCCCCGACTATGAGTCGTTCTGTTCTGTATTACTTAACAGAATTCTAAACTACTGGGCTTGTTTCTTTCTTTTTAGTTTTTTTTTTGTAAGTTAATTATTTCATGTATTTTTCTAAATTAGTTTTTCCGCAGTCGGAAGTTTTGTTTTTCTTTAAATTATTACTTTTTTAAATAGTTTATGGATAATTCATATGTATGATTAGCATTGTTATCTAATAGTATGGTCACGCGCTATTTCTTCTATTATCTATTTTATAGAGGATTACAAAATAATATATCAGATAATGTACAACATCTAAATTATTATAAAGTTAGCCGTCTTACAAGCGTTATCGCTAATTGATATATTTTACAAACGATAAATAAATATTCAATGAAATCCTTATAATTTTTTTTTTTTTTCCTTAAAATGTTACTACCTATTTCTTTTAATAATTCAATTATCACCTCAGAATATTTTTTGGACTAGGAAAAGTTCATCCGTTCTCTAGATATTCAAATGTAGCAATATGTTTTTAGCAATTCATCGTTTATACGAGAAAAATCTATAATAAGTGAGCAAAGTCAAAGTCAAATAATCTTTATTCATGAAACTATTTTAAAAGAACATAGCAGGGGTCTCCAAACTTGAAGCCTTCGGGCCATTATGATTTTTTCAATTTGTTCCAAGGGCCAAACCAGTTTTAATTTTTCTGCCCTTAAAAATATTTCTAGACTAGAATAGTCGCAAAGTGTGCGACCTAAGCAAACTTACGCTTTTTTGCATTTCAATTATTATTGTGTATTGCAACACTTAACGACATATAGTGGCGAGTAGTGGTACTATGTATTGTACTATGTACTATCTATTTCAGCTTCCCGCTAACAGGTGGCATTAGTCGTAATTAAATATTTAGAATTACCTCGTTGGTTCGAGTAAGTTCTGGTTCTGGCTAGCTAGTGTATTACGGTCATTCGAGATGGCAGTAATTGCATATAAAAAGGCTAGCGGTGCAACTGCGAGTAAGTCTGCGTAGGAAAGCCGAAGGAAGCGAAACTGTCTATTGTGAAATAAAGTAACACCCGTGCATGAAAGTATTTTGATTTGACTTATTGTTTTTATGTGTGATTTGTTAACATGGAAAAATCGACAGTGAATGCAGAACGTTCCAAGTTAAATGGAACTTTCAGTATTTTGTGATTGAGTCTAGTAATAAGGCGCTATGTTTAATTTGTAATGAAACCATATCTGTTCTCAAAGAATATAACATTAAACGACACTATGTATCGAAACATTTTCAACTATAACTTCAACTATACAAGAAGTTTGCGGACGGAAAAATTTGAAGCTTTGAAACGCGGACTAAAATCGCAGCAATCTTTGTTTACCAAAGCGAATACTGAACAAGAGTCTGCAACTCGCGCCTGCTTTTGTGTGGCTCTTGAAATCGGAAAACGTGGCAAACCATTCACCGATGGAGAAATGATAAAAAAAAATGTTTGACTGCAGTAGCCGAAGAACTATGCCCCGAAAAGGTAAATTTATTTAAAAGTGTCAGTTTGTCAGCAAACACCGTGGCTTGGCGGGTGCAAGACATCGCAGAAAATATACGAGTATCATCTCAACTGTCTGACAAAAATGGACATCATGAGTGGTTTTCTCTAGCATTGGATGAGTCAACGGATGTGTCATATATTGCTCAAGTGTTGATTTTTATTCGCGGAATAGATAAAAGCTATGAAGTGTATGAAGAACTTCTTGATGTTGATAGTATTCATGGCACGACAACTGGGGAAGATATTTTGAAGGGAGTTGAAAATGCCGTTAATAAAAAGAACCTTCGATGGAAAAATTTGAAATCTATTACAACTGATGGAGGCAAAAATATGAGTGGTAAAAATAAAGGAGTAGTTGCACTTGTGTCAAAGGCTGTAGAAAATGATGGTGGTTCAAAACCTTTAGTCTTACATTGTATCATTCATCAACAGTTCTTGTGCGGAAAATGTTTGGATATGTCTGAAGTTCTAAAACCAGTCATATCAGTCAGTATCATCGACAATTCCGCGAGCTTATTCAAGAGATTGGAGAAAATGACTTACCATATCATACTGCCGTACGCTGGCTTAGTTGTGAAAAAGTCCTTAAGCGCTTTATTTGAACTTCGAACAGAGATCGATTTTTTTTTAATGAGAAACAGCGCCCTATTGCCGATTTAAAAAATAGTCAATGGATGTGGATGTTAGCATTCCTTGTCGATTTGACAAATCATGTGAACGAACTAAATTTGAGATTGCAAGAAGACAATCAGCTTCGCCCTGAATTATACACCAATGTCAAATCCTTCAGGCAGAAAATAATACTTTTTCAATCGCAATTACGTTAAAAATGTTTCACACATTTTAAAACATGTGAGATATTCAGCCACATTACAGAGTTTTTCCCGTCAATTTTGCAATCGAAACTTTGAGTGCTTTGAAGATAAATTTTGATTCTCGTTTCTCAGATTTTGATATCATTGCGAATGAAATTAAGCTTTTTCAAAGTTCTTTTGATTCTGACATTGAAACCCTGGCTCCGGGAGTCCAAATGGAAATTATTGATTTAGAGTGCAGTGATATGATTAAGAACAAATATCAAAATTCATCTTTGCTGGAATTTTATAAGAGTCTTCCATTGGAACAATTTGATAATTTGCATAAGTTTGCACGTGAGTTGTTTTTTGTTTTTGGAACTTACTGTGAGAAAACGTTTTCCAAGATGAAGCACACAAAGAATATATACAGATCTCAATTAATCGATGAGATTCTTAAATCTCTTTTGATAATTGGTACAAGTAAAATTGATCCACAACTACAAACTATTGTCGGTGGAAAATCACAATTACATAAATCTCATTAGTGTTTTTGTTTTACTGTGATTAGTGGGATTCATTTCGATTATTTATTAGTTATTAATATGCTTAAACTTAGATACTTAAGTTAAGTTTTTTGCGTCATCATTTCTGTCGTTAAGTTTTACTTTGTTTTACCGTTAAGTAAATAAAGCCGAGTAATTATCATTCTGTGTTTTCTTCTTTCAACTTATCACAGTAATAACAACAAAAAACTAAAATTTTGAAACATTAATAATTGATGAAAATAAGTAATAGCTACGAGAAGTTTAAACACCTGAATTTTTGGCGCGCTCGTCGTGACGTCAAAGTACACGATTAGAGATATGACATTTTAAATCAATATGGATTTCGAGTGATTGAGTATTATTCAATTACCCTAATCGATAACGACTAATCGATTTTTTAAAGTATAATAGACTTTTTTAATAAATCATACAATTTACCATATTGGTGAAATAAAAATAAAAGCTTAAAACATCATTTAAATTGTAATCAGTTGTTATTTTGCGACATAATACATTGATGTTATTGCATCGATGTTAACTTTTTGTAATAACGACATCCCTATACGTGTACATTTTCGTCACATCCGCTATGACAAGTAGCATGGCGTTTAAATATTTTGAAGTTACCGCGTTTATTTTGCACTTTTTAATAATTATTTTCAAGATGTAAACGAACTAATGTTGAAAAATATTTAAATATACTTTATTCTAAAGCAATAACGATTGTAATAAAATATATTTAACCCTTTTTTGAATCAGACGCATATTCCCTATTGCCGATTTGTACTGAAAATCGAAATTGTTTATTTTTTAATTTTAAACAAATTTATTGAATCAAAATACTTACCATTATTATCTATTCATTGCTGTCATCTAATAGGAAGGTCATTTATGCGTTTGTGATAGAACTCTGAGGATCTAGTTTGCAAAAAATTGTGTGAAAGCATTTTGAACTGCCTCCTGGGAAGAAAATTTCTTGTCACGTAGATAATTGTTTAAGTCACGAAAAACTGGTAGTCCGTTGGAGCAAGGTCTGGCGAATACGGAAAATGACGAATGGTTTCTAACTGCAGTTCTTGAAGGGTCAAAACAGTTTGTTGTGCTGTATGAGGTCTCGCGCTGTCATGGAACGATAATGGTGAGGATCGACTCATGAGTCGGGGCTGTTTTACTATTAATTTTGCCAACGTTGTTCCGAGTTCGGCACAATAGACATCTGCCATTATTTCTTGACCAGATCGGAGAGAACCATAGTGAATAACACCACGCTGAGACGGTGGTCTCAGCGTGGTGTTTACAATTACCATTACCTTTTTATTGGTAAGTTTTGTTTTAGGACACTGTTGGGGTATTTGACCTGGGGTCAGCCACTGCACTTTTCTTTTACTGTTATCATTAAGAATCCTCTTTTCGTCACATGTCACAATTCGATCCAATATTCCTTCATTTCTGTACCGATTCAACAAGATAACACAAGTTTCAACACGCGTTTCTTTCTGCAGATCAATTAAATCATATTGCACCCATTTTTCGTATGTTTTATTTTATTGATTTGACGCGAATGAGTCAAATTTGTGGGTAAGGTAACGTTAAACCATGCCGCTAATTCCTGAGTAGTTTAATTAGGATCAGCTTCCACCATCGTGGACGGTCTTCCTCGTGGCTCGTTCTTCAAGTCGAAGTTTCCATCACGAAAGCGTTTATACCCAGACCCTGAACTCGTTTTCAAAACTCACTCGAATTTATCGCAGTATCCATCTTTTTTGTCTAAGTAACAAAAACGATTGAAAGTTGATATTCAAATGTTTACCATTTTTTAAAAAGAAGAACATCATAGAAACCATGTGAAAAAAGTTTCTTTCGAAAACCTCAAACCATGAAGATTCTATGTCAAAGCAAGGAACCTATTACAATAAAACGGCAATTTCATACTTTAACCCCTAATACTACATCAATTGTAAAATTCATTACGTTTTTGATGAAAAATGCAAAGTTGATCAAATATATATATTTATAATAATAAGTGTCACTTATCAGGAGACCGGAACACCCCAATTAATCAATCATCATAAGCTTTCTTTACAAGTATTTTTTTATGGATAGATTTAAATGTATTAGTGGTATATTGCTTGATACTTTATTGTAAAAGCGTACTAAAAGACCCTAAAATTTCTAAGCAAATTGATATTTTTACGAATATCCATAAAGTTTTCATATGTATATTGAGAAGCAACAGTCTTATATCTTTCTTTAATTTATCTCTTAATGTTCCCTAATCCTGAGATTACAAATTGATTTTATTATTTGTGGTATATAGTATTTTTTTTTTAATATAAATATCGTTAATGGGACAACAATTTATATGATAGTGTAGAAAATTTGATTTTTATAAACTATAATGACCGCACCGGAGTTCGAATGCTTGAGGGTCTGAGAGATGATGACACTTTGAAATCAGTATGCAAGCTCCTCGACGACGTTGTTTATTAGTTTCATTATAAAAATAATTATTGTTTTCAAGGCTCCTGCATTGCCAGCGCGCCCAGTAGAATCGTGGGTGGTGAAGTGACTACGATCGACAATTACCCATCAATAGTCCAAGTGGACTACTTTGGAGTTTTTACACAGACATGGTCACAGTCGTGCGCCGCTAACATCCTCAACTCCTTATATGTCCTATCTGCTGCTCACTGCTTCATTGGCATGTAAGTAGCAGTTGGTTACAAAATCGCAAAACTTTAATCCTCCTTTCCGTAAGTTAAGGGTCTTTAATGATTCTGTGGCTTAGGCCCTAAAAGATATTCACTAAAATTTTTAATTATTTCTATCTTTAGATTTATTCACATTAAAGAATTGCCACATTATTAATTGTTTCTTAATTAATAAACAATCCAACTCCGCGATACATACCAACATACGATTAAACTGTTTGAATGTAGTTGTTTTCATCACTTTCTTCATTATCATCATCAGATTTGGAATCGAATAGAATTGAATAGGGACAATGGGCAATGACCCATCACGCGGAATGTGCTGATCGGTGCGTATTAATGACTACAGATACAGTCGGGATCTGGCTTAACGTGTCTTCCGAAACACGGAGGAGAGTGAGATAATATTTTTTTGGTCACCCATCCTCATGAAAGGCCCTTTACGAAAGTTGCTTAACTTCTGCTTCCCAGACCGAATGTGATAATCACTACACAATCGAGCTCCTAAGTAGTTTAATATATTAAAGGATATCTTTTTACCACATACAAAATCTATCCTCATTTCAGATTTTACCAGCCATCATTTCGCCGGATCCGAGCTGGTGCCACTTTCCGCAATACCGGCGGTAGCGTCATTAACGTTGCTCAAGAATTCAACCACCCGTCTTATGGTACCCCTGGCATGGGCGCTGACGGTGACATCACAGTGGTCCGTTTGGTCCAAAACATAGAATTCAATCCTGTGATCCAACCAGGCGCAATCGTCCCTCAAGGTTATCAAATTCCCGATAATATGCCTGTTGTTCATGCTGGATGGGGAACAACTTCGGTAAGTAAAAGAATCAACAACTACTGTTACTTCATTATACAAATTCAGATTCCAATAATATGATTTTTTAAATAATAATAAGATTTTTTTACCGCAATAATATTATTAAAGAGATTACGATGTAGGACTATGATAAGGGATTATGATGTAGATACTTTATATTTATGAACTCCACACCATTTTTCTCGGAGTAAATTTTTATACGTTTTCTATTGTAAGTAAGTGCAAATAACTGTACTTCTACTTTTTGGTTAAAGGCTTTTTTGTACTTGGGTCTAGTTTTGTAATTAAATATTTAAAGTGTTCATTATTCTGACTGAAAACTTTATGTATCGTTGGATTAATACATTTCTTGTTCACAAGATGTCGTCAACAGCAATTGTTTTTAAATAATCCCTATTTATTTTGTGGTCGCGGCGATGAAAGCTTCAGATAATCATTAAAATCACTTAAAGTTCACAATTTTTATTTTCAAAACGATTTAATTGCACGTGTGTAATAAAATATTTTGTTCCTGCAGGAAGGAGGTCAGCTATCCGAGCAGCTGCGTGACGTAACTATTTACACAGTCAACAACGATCTCTGCCGTGAACGCTACGCCGCTTTTAACCCTCTCATGGTCGTGACCCCTAACATGATCTGTGCTGGTATACTCGATGTCGGCGGTAAAGACTCCTGCCAGGTAAGTGTAACCTTCAAAACTTTTTTAAAATATATGTAGCATTTTTATATTTCTTTCTGGTTGTTTGTCTTAGCGTACGGAAATTTGCTCACCAACCTGAAAGTAACAAGTGTATATGCACTTGTGAAATTCGATGGTTTCGTTAGGTATCCAAAAGGTCGTTGGTTCGATTCCAGCCTGGTAGAGGAGATGCTTGTTATTATACTGTATCGTCTACATTCTATTGATAATATTGATTCTCAGTTAAGTAATTAAAGATACTTATTATAGTGGCAATGTGTATTTCCTAGTAGTTGTGTACTTTATGAATATATTAAATTCCGACAAATCAAGTGGTAGGTTTCTCTGAAGAGATGAATATTAAAAATAATTTCTGAATGCGATGTCGCAAAATGAGTCAAGTATATCTATATGTAAACATCATAAAAAATGGATATACATTTAGCTAAGTGCTTCATTAGTGATTGATGATACATACTGTCGCTGTGTTTTTAAACGACTGCCCAAAACTGCAAGATCAGATTTTTTATATTTGGCGACATTTTCTTACTATTTATGTTATACTATACAACTTCATCGTTCGCAAAGAGATGCACATTCGTCCTATCTTTACGATATTCACTTTTCAAAGTTCAAGTTACCGTAATTCTTAAAATAGGCTAAACTAGGTCCTAATCTTTAAATGACTAAAACAACCCTAATCTATTATTGGCCAAACTGGGTCATCTGCCCACGTCATTTATGGTTTGGACATAACATCGATATTTGCGTTATTTGAGATGAAACTACGAATCGCAGTAGGTCCTTAATTCACTTGTCATATTCATAGAACAGATAAAATATAAGAAGTAGCCAGTGTGGCATATGACATACGAGACTACGCTCAGTCGTCATTGAGATAAACTAGCGGTGTTACTGACAAAAATTGCTTATTATATAATACAACAATGTGAAAAAAGGGAATGCAAAAAAATATTTATTAAATGAAGGTATACTTCTTTTTATTTGGTTCTGTGGTCATGTGTGGGAACGCCCATAAGGTTACTGAAAAATAATGAATTTCCTATTTAACAGGGTGATTCCGGCGGTCCTATGTACTTCTCTGATATTCTCGTTGGCGTCGTATCTTGGGGTGAAGGATGCGGAAACGCAACCTTCCCAGGCGCCAGTACGGCCGTAGGCTCATACACAAACTGGATTGTGTCTATTGCCGTTTAAATATGACAATGCTTTTGTGAAGATCGTAAAAATAAAATAACATTTATGCACTTTTTGTTCTATTTCTATTTCTAACAGCCTTATGATGCGATGCGGGGAATGAATGACACTAAAATTTCATAGAATAGACCCGTAAGAGTACAAGATTTTATGATTAAACTGTTGATTGACCGAAAGATAAAAATATTAAAGCAATAAAAATATTAACAGTTTTCTACGTCCTTAATTTTTTCAAATTATTATATTTGATCAATTTGGCGTTCATAATAAAAAATTAACGAGTGCTTGAAAAATTTGTCAGCCCCGCCTGGATTGCGAAAGGTCGCAGTAGGCCAATTCTGCTAACGTTTACGTAATAATAGCGTGTCAATAGGATGTCAACTACTCGCATTTTGCCCTTGTACTATCTACCTGAACTCCAATATCATTATATATCTGACTCAATCGATGTGTGAGGAAGACATTGAACTAATAACATTGAACTTTATTTAGATAGTACAATGGTAAAATGCAAGTCGTTGAGATTCTATCGGGATGCGATTATAACGTAAACATTAGCAGAATCGGCCTGCAGGTTGGAGTCTCAGAGCACCTGGGGGTAAAAAGGATTTGATCCGGCCCGCGAGACATTTTGAAATCCTTATTAAAAAAAAAAAACATTGTGTGGTTTCAGAAACTACGGCGCAAGTGAAACTTTCAATTGATTGTAGGCGTCGGATTCTAGACGTTCAATTGAGAATTTTTTTGGAAAATCATTCGATATAAGGTATCACAATCGTGTTTTTCACCTGACAATAGGAAATCATTAGCAGACAATTAGATGCATATATATCATAGATACAATTATTAAGATGATAGACATCTGTTACACATGTTAAAAATTAATGTTTAACACATAACCTGTAAACATCAATTTCAAATTTAAAAAAATGTATATTTAAAATTAAGAATTCAAGTAGTTATGTGGGCCTACACCCACAATAATTACTTACATTATATAAATATTTAATTACTTTTAAAATATTATATAATATAAATTTCATTATTACAATATCTTATATTTATGTATTCTATATACAAAACTTAGCACTAAAACACTTAATTATATTTACATAATTATTAAATCATATTTACACTTATATATTTACAGTACATTATATTTATACACAAGTTCATATCAAATATTAAAACACGTACGGCATCATTTCATACCAGCTGATTGCCGTCCGTTTATAGTGGAGTCGCGCACACACCGAGCGAGCCTTTTGTTTTCGAAACCGGTCGGCGCACGCGCAGTCTGCGTGTCGCCGCGGTCACTAGTCAGAATCTATGCTTGACGCCGTCCGCACGTTCGTTCGCCTCCCGCTTGCTAGTTTCCGACGCGCTTTTACCTATTGCTGTAATCATATGTTTTTCTGTGCTTATTCTTCTCCTGTGCTTGTATATCTATCTGCTGTTCTCTGTACTCCTTCTACCTGTGTCTGTGCTAAGTAAATGTGCTGTGACTATCAAGTGTCGGACTTATTTTAGACTTCTTAGCGTCTATCACACCCTCAACGCTAAAGTGGTGACCCCGACGTGATGTTACAACTAATAGCAAACCGGATTATATTGAATTGGAAACGCAGAGTCTAATTAAATGTTTATTATAAGTATCACAATCACAATTTATTATAAAGTTATATTCGACACGTCTTCACTTCTCCGACGCCAGCGTTAGACTGCGTCCTTCCCACTACCGTGTTCCCAAGTGTCTTTTATTCGATACTGATTCGATTCAATTAATGGCGGTAGACTACTTAACAACATTTATCATGACGGTAGTTTTAACTTGGGAACGCGGTACAATTAACATTAATTAAATTTATAAATAGACATTATTATATTTGAAATTAAGACAATTATATATGTACATATGAACAATCTTGCGATGTGAAAGCTAACAGTCGGCCTTTCCTGATAATTTTCACGACTCGTGAAAATAACTACATTATACATAATAATAATTGCTAATAACACACAACATTCATATTTTGAGTGCATAGAATTAAAACTATTACTTATAATGTTATGTAATCATGTCATTATAAGTAATAGTTTTATCCCACAAAATCCAATGTGTTATCCCACAAAATCCACATTACTTAACTATTACAATTTTATTATAATATTATAGAACAATAACATGGAACGATATTAATATTTTAATAAAATGGAATTTTTGTTTTAAATACAATATTGACATTAATATATTAATTATACATTCATAAGAAAATAGCGGTTATAAAATGGTGTATGCGTTTTAAATAAATTCACTTTTATTAATATTTAATCACTGTTTATATATATTTGAATTATCTTATTGTTGTAGTCTCTGCATATCTACAACAGGTCTACTTCAAAATCAAATCAATCAATCAACCAATTTTAATATTGGAGCCACTACATGTCTTCAATATCAATTCATTATATTCTCATAAATCTGAGAATAGGAGCAAACATAAATAATTATATAAATAATGCCTCAGTTGAGTCAAAACCGCCTGGAAATAAAAAATATAACTTAACATTGAAGCCCCTTCATGTCTTCAATGGCAATTAATTGATTATATAAAATACTTATCAAAAAAACTGAAAGAAAGTTAAGTAGTAGGATTACACACATAAGAATTAATACATATAAAATGACTTTACACATAAATGGATTTAGCACAACGTTCTATTCATCATTGTCGAGACTATTTGCGTCTTACTAATAACAGTCATTAATTTCGTTGCTAGAGTCAGATTCTGATCCGTCCGTGGTCCTATTAAATACTAGCCAAGGGTGAATTTTATCTACTGAAAAGACACCTTTAAATAAACGACTACCTTTTCGTGACAAGGGGGTATCTTCTACCATATATCTATCATTATTTAACTTTTCTATAATACGATATGGGCCTCGAAGCTTAGGTATTAACTTTCTACTTTGACCACAGGAAGGTATTTCCCTTTCAATCCTAACCAAATCGCCCACTGAATAATGTACCTGCTTGCGTTTTTTATCAAACCTCTCCTTCTGTCTGGCCTGACTTATAGTTACATGTTTATTTATTTCACTTCGAATATTTTCCGTAGAATTTTCATCATGTACATCATTATTATAAGTATTGAGACACAAGAGAGAATCATTTGTTCCAATAAGAGTTATGCCAAAAAGGGCTTGAGCTGGTGTCTTCCCAGTGCCCTTATTTAAGGTATTGTTCAACCCCCATTGAATCTCAGAAATAGATTCATCCCATGTATTTTCTGGTTTGTTGAAATTTTTTGCAGTCAGGGCAGCAAGAACTGTGCGATTATATCGTTCTATTTGGCCATTTGCCCTTGGTGTAGCTACAGCATTTAAAACATGTTTGACTCCTAAACCACTAAGATATTCTTGGAAAATTTTCGAAGTGAAAGATGTTCCCTTATCTGATATTACTCTCTGTGGTACACTAAAGGTATGGAAGTAATTTTTCATTGCTTTAATTGTATGAACACTTTTAGTACTCTTTACTGGTACTAAAATGAGATATTTGGTAAATGCTTCTATTATTAATAATAAGTAAGAATTCTTATGCGTGCTTCGAACAAAAGGGCCAAGGTGATCGATATGTAGGGTATGGAATGGTCGATCAATTTTGGGAATGGGATGTAATTCTCCAGACTTTTTCCCAGCTGGAGTTTTGGTGTGAGCACATTCTAAGCAAGAGTCTACATATTTTTTTACAAAACGTCTCATTTTAGCGAACCAATATTGACTTTTTATTTTATCTAAAGTTTTTTCAAAGCCAAAGTGGCCCAAGGAATCATGATTTGCTCTAAGTAAATGCCATTTTAATCCCTTAGGTACGACCCATCGGTCTCCGTCAGTCGTTTTCCTATACAGTAACCCACGTTTCACTACAAAGTTATTTTTAATTTCAACTATTTTTTCAGTTTCCTTATCGCTTAACATACTAATTATTCTTTGTAATTCATCATCATTATGCTGGGCAGTCATTATCCAATTTGCATCGATTAATCGAACTTCTTCAAGACTGAGTTGCTGTATAGGATTCCGACTGAGAGCGTCTACGTGACACATACTGGAACCCGGTTTGTAAATAATATCAAAATCATATTCTTGTAGAACATTCCACCATCTAGCTACGCGAGGTAACATATCCCGTTTTTCAAATGTAGCACGAACCGAGTTACAGTCTGTGACAATTGTAAATTTAAGTCCTAGAAGATATACACGAAAGCGCTGTAGCGACATTACAACAGCCAGTGTCTCCAAGTCATAAGAGGTAAAACGCGCCTCTTCAGGGGAAGTCTGTCTGCTGTAATATGCCACAGCGTTAAATGGGGATTCTTTGTTTGGTCTCTGCATTAAGATACCGGCGATACCGGACTTTGATGCATCCGTGTGTACTTGAGTTTCATAAGCTGGATTATAGAATGTTAATATAGGGCGTTCAATTAGTTCTTGTTTTAACTGATTAAAAGCCTCTTCTTCAGAGTCACCCCAACACCATTTAGAGTTTTTCTTTAAAAGTTGGGTTAACGGTCGGGCTATACTGGAAAATCCTCGGATAAAACGTCGAAAAAAACTTGCCAGACCAACAAATTGACGAATTTTATGTTGATCTGTTGGTCGTGGAAATCCTTTTACCGCTTCTATTTTTTTACTGCCAGGTCTGACTCCGTTTTCATTTATTTCAAACCCCAAATAGTCTATAGACCTCATAAAAAAATTACATTTAATCAATTTCAAAGTTAATCCCGCAGCGCGAAACAAATTTAATATATTACGCAATTTATCGAAACCCTCTTCTATAGTCCTAGACGGAATGATCACATCATCCATGTAAGCAAACGCATCTTTAAACCGCGCGTTCCCTAGTATATTATTAATAGCTCTTTGAAAATTTGATGGAGCGTTTGCCAGGCCAAATGGCATTCGATTAAATTCGAAATGACCATCTGGTGTC